GAGATTGCCTATCTCCTAGAACTGGAAGGTACCTTAAGAAGTCACCAAGTCCAGTCCCCTGCCTTCACAGTAGGACCAAGTATCATCACCTGACAAACTTTTGCCCCAAGTAGCCTCTGCAAGGATTGAACTCACAACCCTGGGTTTAGCAAGCCAATGCTCAAACCACTGAGTTATCCCTCCCCCATGCCTTCAGCTGTGGGGACTTGCTGGTGGGACCACAAGGGAAGCACAAAGGCATGGTCTACCTCTAGTGTACCCATGCACAGGGCTCGACAAATTGTACAATCTACTCACCTGTGGTGAGTAGATTGTAACCCAGAAGAGCCAAGTTCCGGCAATCTGCGCATGCACAGAACAATCTGCGCATGCGCAGATCACCGGACAGCACAGCTGGCGAGCGGTGCTCGCCGCGGTTTGGCGAGCCCTGCCCATGCACATATATGACCCTACTCTGTGAGAGATGAAGTTGACTGTGCAAAACCACAGAGACACCGTGCAGGCCAGTGTGGCCATAATCTGGCCTATATGGTAATTATAGGACTGAACCGGGGGGTCTCTGAAGAGATTGTCCAGAGATGAAGTGGTGCATACCCAGCAGATGCAGAATTGAGCCAAAAGACCCCAGAAGACAGGAGAGGGCTGCAGTGGCTGAGGAAAGGGCACCAAGAGGAGAGTACTCAGGCGGAAGAAGTCCTGTGGGAAGGACTGTCCTTACTGGTGAAAGTCCTGGTGCATGGTTAAACTGGAGCAGGAAGGCGCACCATCGCCCCTTCTTACCAGTCACTGGCAGAATCACACTCACAATGCTTAAAACTCAAAGAAAAGGGCAGATGATCACCAAACATCTTATTCTTCTAATTAGATTCACCAATCCAGTAACAAAACAGCTTCTGTAATACCTTACTGGTTACAAAGAAGCTAAAATACAGTTTCCTTTAAGCAATACATGTCTTTGGCTTCCACCCAGACACCCAAGTCTATGTAACGAGGGTTATTTTAAATCTTATTCACCATACTTAAAGTTCTACTAATCCAAAGAAATTGGATACAGTACACATCAGGGCAATGAATGCTTCAGATTTTTTAAAATATATGCTTACAACGAATTCTTATTAACTGAATCTAACATTTAGTTAAAAACAAAAAGCTACTATAGTTAAAAGATCATTATTAAGGCTACATTTTAGTCACGGGTATTTTAGTAGAAGTCATAGACAGGAGATGGTCAGTAAATAAAAATCCACAGCCCCATGACCTATCCATGATTTGTACTCTGCCCCTGCTAAATCTTAGAATCATAGAACACGAGAACTGGAAGGGACATCGCAAGATCATTGAGTCCAGTCCCCTGCCCTCACGGCAGGACCCAGTACCATCTACATCATCCCTGATAGATGTCTATCTAACCTGCTCTTAAATATCTCCAGAGATAGAGATTCCACAACCTCCCAAGGCAATTTACTCGTGTTTAACCACCCTGTCAGTTAGGAAGTTTTTCCTAACGTCCAACCTAAACCTCTCTTGCTACAGTTTAAGCCCATTGCTTCTTGACCTATCATCAGAGGCCAAGGAGAACAATTCTTCTCTCTCTTCCTTGTGACACCATTTTAGATACCTGAAAACCACAAACATGTTCCCTCTCAGTCTTCTCCTTTCCAAACGAAACAAGCCCAATTCTTTCAGTCTTCCTTCATAGGTCATGTTCTCTAGACCTTTAATCATTCTTGTTGCTCTTCTCTGGGCCTTCTTCAATTTCTCCACATCTTTCTTGAAATGTGGTGCCCAGAGATAAATGGAAAACAATGCATCGTCTTTGTCAAAGACTATTGGGCTACGTCTACACTGACCCCTTCTTCGGAATAGGCATGCTAATTTCGAACTTTGGAATAGGGAAATCTGCGGGGGATTTAAATATCCCCTCGGGATTTAAATAAACATGGCCACCGCTTTTTTTCCGGCTTGGGGAAAAGCCGGAAAAGAGCGTCCAGACTGGCACGATCCTCCGGAATAAAGCCCTATTCCGGAGGATCTCTTATTCCTACTTGAAAGAATACAAGCCAGATGTGAAACAGCTGGTGAAAAGTTGCAGCTACAATCTTCACATTTATTGTACTTATACTCCAGTAAATTCCAGTGCTATAGTGGCAGTTTTTGTTTGATTTGTTACAATTGTGAAGCCAAAACAAAAAAGTAGTCAATATAATGGTCTTCTGTTGATATGCGTTTTAGTAGTTAAATTCCTGGACTGTTATTGCTCATTAAAAGTGCTGTTATATGAGTGGAAATCGGGTAAATATTGCATTTGATTAATATCAGTAGAACTGAGTTAAATGGGGCCTGTGTGTTGTGTAGTCTTCCCTTAATCTTTATATTCATGCCCATCAGTGTGAAAAAAGCTATTTGCATATATATTTTCATGTACATACAATCACACTTAAGTTGAGGCCCTTGTCATGTGCTGTGAGTATCATTGTGGCCCCTGGGGCTTCCACAAGTGAGCAACCCTGCTCTAGTAGTTCACTCTGGAAAGAGAAAACCACTTATCCAGTACCCTGTATACCTGCCTTCCACCAGAGTGTGGCAGGCTTTCTGGCTTAGGTCTGTCACAGTCAATATAAGTAATCCATGTTGACATCACTTGTTAAAATAATCAGGTATTAAAAGAATTTCAGTATAAATGCATATTAACTGAAGTGAGATACAATTTTAAAGGGGACATGACAGTGGCTTTGAAGTAGCTAAAAGGGTGTCACAAGGGCTGTGTCCAGACTCAGGGGTTTTTTCGAAAAAAGTAGCCTTTTTTCGAAAAAACTTCACCTGCGTCTAGACTGCAGCCGCGTTCTTTCGAAATTAAATCGAAAGAATGTGGCTTTTCTTTCGACAGTGGTAAACTTAATTCCACGAGGAAGAACGCCTTCTTTCGAAAGTGCTCTTTCGAAAGAAGGCGTTCTTGAAAGCAAACAGGCTTTTTAGAAAGAGAGCATCCAGACTCACTGGGTGCTTTCTTTCGAAAAAGCGGCTTGCTTTTTCGAAATTCCGTGTGCAGTCTAAATGCTCTCTTTCGAAAGAGGCTCTTTCGAAAGAGGCTTGCAGTCTAGACATAGCCTTACAGACAAAAACAACACATGGTCTGGTAGCACTTTACAGACTAACAAACATGTAGATGGTATCATGAGCTTTCGTGGGCACAACCCACTTCTTCACCAACTCTGGTCATCTGAGGAAGTGGGCTATGCCCACGAAAGCTCATACCACCATCTACATGTTTTGTTAATTTTAAATCAGTCTGCTGAAATGGACTGAACTCTCAAATGAATTTTCAGACTATTTATTTTGTGCACCTGAATAAAAACAAAGTTTTGTATGCATGGTGGTGAGTTAAGCCTTTCATTCGACCTATAAAATACATTTTGTGAGAAACAGTCTTTGAAAGGCACTTAAATAGCTGACCTGATAATCAAATGATATACAATCTAAGGCCACAAGATGGAGCCCCAATCTCCTCCTTTTCTAAGACTGAATAAGAAAGCATTTTTCTACTAATGAGTTTGATTGTGCAGTCCTGAATATTGAAGAAAATATCAACAAAATATAATCTGACATAAAATTGAGAGTGTCTTAAAACTGATATTGTGAAAGTATCAGATTTCCCCAGTTCTTAGTCTAAAAGGGAACATTGCAGTTGAGAAGAGCTTGTAGAGACTGTAATTTTAAAGTTGTCTAGATTTTTTCCTAAACCCAGAACAATGGTGGACAATCAGCGGTCCACAGACCATACGTGACTTGTCAGGGTAAGCCACTAGCAGGTCGCCAGACTGGTTGTTTACCTTGCATCCAGAGGTACGGCTGCCTACAGCTCCCATTGGCTAGGAATGGTGAACTGTGACTAATGGGAGTTGCAGGAAACCATACCTGAGAACATAAGGTAAACAAACTGTCTGGTGGTCTGGTAGTGGCTTACTATGATGAGCCATGTTTGGTCTACAAATTGCAGGTTGCCCACCATTGGCCTAGTAAAACCCCATAGAGTGGAATATGCAGTTAGTATAAACAAATAATATGGATTAACTTGCTTAGAAAAATCCCTCTTGGTTTATATTATTTTATATTTAAAACTGCATTCTAAAGTTAGCATATGCTTCCAAAACCCAAAAGAGAAAAACAGACTAATTTTTATATACTCTTTCCATGCAACCTGAGATGAAGTCTCTGTTGTTTCCAGGAAATCATAGTATCTTACCAGCACAAGAACTAGACATCCAACATACATTGATAATAGCTTAACTTGCACACTTGCACTGGAAAATATCAAATCAAGCCTTACAAAGACATAAACAATTTCTAAGTAAAGTACTGTATTTGGATGCCATTTAGTGAAGAACTCGGTGAAGTTGTAAGGATACAGTTCTCGTCTTACTGAAGTCAGTTGGGCTATGTGTACACTGCAGACTTCTTGCACAAGAACTGTTTTGCACAAGAGTTCTTGTGCAAAAGTTCTTGCACAAGAGTGCATCCATACTGGTCAGAGCACATTGCAAAAGCCTTGCATGTCTGCGCAAGAGAGTGTCCATACTGGTGGGACGCTCTTGCGCAAAGACATCTCCCCGCAACTATTTTGAACAGGGGAAAATGGCACCAGGACCTTCCGGGGGTGGGGGCTGGAGCTCCTCTGAGACACGTGCTTAAAGGGATCTCCCTGGACAGTCATTTCTCTGCTGCTATGTGCTTTGGGACCTCTTGTAGGGACTGAAAGCTGTAGCAGTGCCTGTTGTGGTTGTCCTCTGCCTCATTGGACACCACAGCTTGTGCCCTAGTGCCTTTGGAGACTTTTGCCTTCTGCTTGCTGTGCCATGGAGCCAGAGGTGGCCCTGTGCCTGCTCTGGCCCCACACAGTCATTTTGGAGTGCCTGCAGCTGCTGCTCTATGCTGCCTTGTTACTTCTGCTCGACGCCGAACTCACTCTGGACTCCCTCTCCCCAGATGTAGTGTCACTGTGGCATCCCTACCTGACCGTGGAGAGGCGATACTGGAGACTCGACACCAATTGTGACTGTTGGCATCAGCTGGTCCTGGAGCAATGGGACGACCAGCAGTGGCTCCAGAATTTCAGGATGTGAAATCAGATGTTCCTGGACCTGTGTGCCTGGCTTGCCCCTCTGTTCCTCAGACATGACACCCAGCTGCGGCCCACCATCCCCATGAACAAGAGGGTCGCCATCGCCCTGTGGAAGCCGGCCACCCCAGCCAGCTACCGCTCTGTGGCACACCAGTTCAGGATGGGCAGGTCCACAGTGGATGCCGTCTCGATGCAGGTAAGGGGGGGGACGACGACAGGAGGAGTGGGGGAAGCCCCATCACCTAGGGGCTTGTGCAGTCCCTCCCTCACATAGGCCTGCTGGTATGGGGTGGGTGGCTTTGGGATAAGGGGGCCCTGGTGTGTTTGGGGTGAGAAGGCATCACAGGGAGGCGGGCACCCTCAAGGGCCTTATTGTGTGCATTCCCTGTGTTTCTATGTGCCCTTCTGCAGGTTGTCCATGCCATCAATGACATCCTGCACCAGAGGGTCATCTGCCTGTCGGATGTGGATGCAGTCGTGGCTGGCTTCGCTGCCCTGGGGTTCCCCAACTGCGGGGGAGCCGTGGATGGGACTCACATCCCCATCCATGCCCCGGAACATCGACCAGCCCATTTCATCAACTGCAAAGGGTACTTCTCCATGGTGCTCCAGGCCCTTGTGGACCGCCTTGGTCGCTTCACAGACATCTGTGTGGGGTTGTTTCGGCAGGGCACATGATGCCCACATCCTGAGAAACTCCAGCCTGTATCTCAGAGTGGAGGCGAGCACTTTCTTCCCCCAGTGGGAACTGACAGTTGGGGATGTCCACATGCCTCTCTGCATTGTGGGGGTCATGGCCTACCCCCATATTCTGTGGCTGATGTGGCCGTACACCGGATGCATGGAACCCTGGTGGGAACATTTCAACCACCACCTGAATCGGGCCCACAACCAGTTTGAGTGCGCCTTCAGACGGCTGAAGGTGATTCTGTTGTCTGCTTACCCGTCTCGAAATGGGTTAGCAGAACATCACGGAGGTTGTGGCAGCATGCTGAGTGCTGCACAACACAGTGGAGCAGACAGGGGAGGCCTTCCTCCCAGGGTGGATGGCAGGCGAGGGCTGGGCATTTGAGCAGCCCCACACAGCTGCCATCCGACAGGTGCACCACAATGGGGTGCACATCTGGGAGGCTCTGAAGGAGATGTTCTCCCAGGCTCCACACTAGGGTTGCTTCTGTCTCCCGTCCACATCCCCCTCCCACCTTCAACCCTTCCCTCCCCCCTCGTCCCCTCACCTGCCAAAAAACAGGTTTTTTTTGTTGAAACAAGATGTAACTTTATTTTTATTTACAATAGGGAACCGTTTTGGAGCCCCCCCCCCCCCAGGATTTTTTGTTGGCAAAAAAAAAAAACCACAAGACCCAACA